TAGGACTTGCAGAGAGACAAATATACAGGTCACTGTGGACCTATACAGTGGGAGACTATGTCTTTAAAAGCAGCAAGAGAAAGAGATTTAGGTGTCAGAGTATGCAGGTAATTTAAATTGAGCTTGATCTTTGGCAAGTGTAAACAAAGAAACCTAAGATATATAAACAGAGGAGTATTGAGTAGGAGTGTGCTTTAACCTCTAGACTAAAGCTGATTTAACCCCTAAGGAATATTTGATCACAGTTTTGACATTCACTTTCAAAAAACAATGACCTGGAAAGACTAAGGTGGAAAAAGCCATAAAGAAGACTTGAGAAAATGTCTTACAGTGAGATGAGATACACTTAAAGATCTCATATTGATCATTTTAACTGAGAATATTTGAGAAGAATCACGGTGTGCAAGTACCTTCATGAAGAGAAAATACAGACACTAAACAATACTCTGAACTGTATCTCAAGATCCAATTTGAAATAAAGTATCCAAATTGAAATAAAGTATTTTAAGCTAACTTTTTACTCCAGGATGAAAAAGAAAAATGAGCAACAGATCCTCCGTCTCTACGTATCTTCAAATCAAAACTGACAGTTTTCCAGAAGGTATACATTTATCAAACATAAATAATAGGATTCAACAGAGAATTAACTAATCAAAATTTAATGGCAGATAATCTCATGGTCCTTCTTACTAAGATATATAAGCCTATGAGTTGAAACAAAATGTTTTCCAGGCTAGTTAGAGTCAGGGGAAATACGCAGAAGACTGAAATACTGGGTATGAATCTCAGAAGGCTGGCTCAGCTCTGCATCACTAAGAGGTAAACAAATTGCTATTGATGGAAACTTTTCTAATGACTGGCTATTGAAAAGCTCCTACTGGGCTATTCCTCAGAGACTTTGGGTCTTGCCCCTTCCTCTCAGTAATATTTGTGCGCTGTATCCCATTTTTTTTACGTCAGAACTTAATTCTATGTAATGTCTAGATTCAACTTTCCCTTAAATCATACTGGGCAGGCACTAGAACCACTAAAGCCAAATACCAATTAAAAAAAAAAAAAAAAAAAAAAAGCAGGCCTTGTAAATAGGTGTTCATTGTCTCTTATTAAGCTGTGGCCTCCTTTTCTTCATGAGATCCCTTTTTAAAGCAGTTTCTGTGTCATCTCCTGTAAAAGGAATTTCTTAGTTGGGTAAATGGCTGTGCTAGTTCCCGCCACAGATGACACCACTTCCCAGAAGGACCTGCAGGATGTACTGCTGAACAGGTTAGAACCATAGGAATATCCAAACACCACCTCACACAAGTGAAGGGGAGAAAGCTCACGTAAGATCATGTCTTCAAGCAGTAAATAAGGACAGAAGATAGGAGCTTTTAATTAAAAAAAATTCCTAAGACAATTCCAGTACCATCTCACAGCGCATTTATGAGGCTATTTTCAGCCTTCCTGTCACTATAATAATGTTTTGTTTATCATCATTGGGTGACAGATGTTTTCTAGACATCGAGGAAAGCATCATTCTTGTCTTATGGGCCTATATATTTCAGAGAAGATGGACAAAATGGAATAACAAAAAGGGTGATTTTAAGGTGCAGGTCACAAATGAAACAGTAACCTCAAAAAGGCTTGAGTATAAACATGTAAGGCAAGAGTCTTACAAACTAGCTCAGGCAGGATGTTCTGTTCAGCAGGGACAGCATGAAAAAAATGGTAATAATATGAGAAGCAGATGGATTTGGGAATATTGGAGGAGCAGATGGGGAGGACTGGGAACAGGAAGTTTGCTGTGGGAGGACAGCTAAGGAGGGCAAGCTGTTCTTACACACAAGGCTGTGAAAGTGGTGGCAAGCTGTTTAAACCTGATGCGGCACCAGATAAGGAGCAGGTAGAGGTACACAAAAGAGGGAGGCAAGCTGCTCATCAAGCTGCTAAGTAAGGAAAGAGCTTGGCAGATGCATTTCATGTTCACTGGGAAGCATCCTGCTTATTTTTGGAATACCAAAGTAGCGGATGTCACAACAGTTAGGGGCATGTAAAAAGAGACTCCATGGGTCTATGCGGATTTCAAAAAAAATCAGTTGGCTCACGCTGCCAGTATTGCTCATTGTTAGATTTTGGGACAGAGATTTAATTGATGAAAATCAGAGGAGCTATATGAATTTCAGTGGAGCTATAGCAGCTTATGATTGCTGATGGGTTTAGACCTGTTTGCCATTAACTAACAACGTATTGTCAACAAATAGCACACTTTCTGTATTTGCAGCACTAAAGGACTATTATTTTTAGACTTCAAAAATTATTTTCTTGTCAAAATGAGCTAAGTTAGTTGATGTTTCCTGCCTGTCACAATTCTCTTGCTGCCACTGATAGCCATTTCCACTGACTTTAGCTTGGTAAATATTTGATACTTTATCAAGTATTATGTCATTCTCAGTATATGTCTCACAATCTTGTTGCTTAAGTTTATATGGCATGCATTAGTCAATTGGAGATTGACATATGAGTTTGATTTAGGTTAAAAAGTATGAACCAGAGCAGAGGATGAAGAATTCAATTTATAACCACTAAAATTGCAAGGAAAATACAACCGAGAACAATGTTGGCATTCCTCAAAATAGCAGATATATGTGTGGTTGTGGTTAGGAGAGGGAGGGCAAAGGGGAGGATTTTCCAAAGTAACAGAATAGAAATTTTACAGTGGTTTGTCTAGCCCTTCTATTCATAGAGTTTGTTAACTCCCTAAAAAATAAAATAATCACAGAAGACCATTTGCATTTTAAATAATAGGGGTTTTGCCTGAGGATCTCAACTCATTTTATTAAGCAAATGAGGATATAATTAGGTACAAAACACAACTAAAAGATAAAAATTAATACTAGAAGAACATCTTCAAATTGTAAGGCTACACCATATGACCTTCTAAGAGGCCTTCAGCCTTGCCAGAACATTTCGAAACCTGAATATTTACTCCTTTCTTTAATCTTTGACCATTTCTTCTAGTCTCTGCACTAACAGGTTGAATTTTACTATATTTAAAGTTTTTCTTGAGAGAAGAAATACTTCACTAAATACTACTAACTGAAATTTCTCCAAAACTGGCCTAGCTTCAGTCTTCACACATACACACAAACTACAGACACACATGCACGAGAGCGTAGAATCTCAAAAATAGAACAAAATAGAGACCAAGAATAAGGAGATAGTTGCCTAATTAATGGACTTGTTTCTCTTCATAACTATGGAACAAGGAGTTTTGTTCTTTCCTCGTATTTCCTCCACTGATGGTAACATCTTACTCCATATCTGTACATTGTAGAAACATACAAAACAGAAAACAGCTGATGGGTAACAACCTAGAGATTGTTCTTTGCCTCCTTCCTTATCCTCACACTTGCCTGAGTAACCAGAAGCCATGCAAGCTTTTCCTCCCCTTTCCTGGTAATTTTTATTCCATCTCCTTTCCTAAATTTCTTGTCCAGACTACTACTGTTTTCTTTCCTCTCAATACACAAAATACAGCCCTCATTTGTCTTTTTGACTCATCAGTTTGACCATGTTAAGCTTCATTTTCAAAGCCCTTTCTCATCATCGATTGCAGATTTAAGTTCCTTGTCATCAGTTTCCAAGTTCTGTACTAGGATCCTTTGACTCTATCTCTCCTTGTCAAGCTTTGTGTTACCATCCACATTTGCCGATGTTCTGTCTCATTTACTGGTCTGTCAGTCATTCACAAATCACCTCTATTATCTGTTTCTCAAGTATCTTCTCTGATAGATGGCTCCTGAAGCCATATGCGTGTTTTTTTCCCTACTGATCATTTAATGCCCTCTTAAAAACTCACCTGTCCCATGTTGCTTAGAATTAACTGAGATTACTTGTAAATATATTTTTTAAAATTATTTGTTCCTTCATTTTTGTTCCTTAACCCACTAGTAAATTTCTGTTATTTTATAGGACCTTAGTAGATGCATTTGAGAAGAGATGCATGAAGTCAGGAACAGGCTCTACAGAATCATTAATGAAATGAAAATAAAGAACATAACATCCCACACATATATAAATATTGTTATCAATGATGATTATGACAGTGTTCAGTTATAATCCTGCTGGTAAACTCACAGCTTCTTAAGCCTGGAAAGTACTGTTAGTTCATCTATTGATGACTTCTACCATTAGAACATCTAGTGTGACTTCCTGCCATTGAATTTCACTTCAGAATTCTACATGAATCTCTCTGGAGGCCAAACAGTGCACCACAGGCCTAAAATCAAGGAGACATCAATACACTACCATTTCCTGAGGCTCCTGAAGTGGCAGAGAATTGATCAGACATGCCCAAATTATTCTATCAGAAAACGTATGCTGTGGAGGCCAGTGATTGCCATTCTTTCTCAGTCTCTGCTGATCCCAGCCTTTCCCAAAGCTTTTCCAGTTGATGGGTATGACCTTCAGCTTGTAAGGAAGAGATGCTGAACAAGTATAGAGGAAATAGACTGACGATGAGAATCTGAGACAGTTTGTATTTTTCTCCACAGAAATTCTTCTCTGCTTCTCATCTCTTTAACAAATAACTGGACTTACCTCTGCACCACTTGTCAGTAAGCTGAGCAACAGGAGATAATTAACTTAAAATTTTCAGATCTCATAAAGTCATATTTTTTATTTAGGTCTAAAACTAAAGCAAATGCATGAATTCATTCCCCAAAATTTATTATGGGTAACTAACTAAATACATGTGGTTACACAGTCAAACAGAAGGGCATAGAAGGCTTTTTTAAAAAATACAGTTCATTTTGAAAGAGAAATATGTTATTTATTACATGGATGAGGATCACTACTCATTCTAGAGACATGAAATAAAAAAAGGCTTACAACAGCAGCAGCAATTTGGTCAGGAAATGTCTAAAAATATTAATGACTGTATACACCTAGATGAAGATATCAGATCACATCTGCTCGAGCCATTATAAATTAATAGAAGTATATTTGCATTGGACACTTACAGTTTGCTGCTTGTCTTCTTCCGGTTCCCCATTGATTCCATAATGTGTTGGCATTGCTGAGCAAGCTCTTGGGAAGTACAACTGAATACAGTTTCAGAAGCTAAAGAGAACAAATTTAATCTGATTTAGCTTGCAGTGATGGCAATAAACTAAATAAGGAAAATACCTACTGAAAGAAGTGTTTTTTCTATGGAAATCCTAGCCGTGCTCTTCTTAGGTTCTAGGTAAGAATGTCAATATTGAAGTAGCTTAACTTAGTGGAAACATTTAATTCTCATGAGTGTGACTTTGTAAAAGATCTAGAATGTCCTGGGTAATAAATGGCCTAGGTCAAATTAAATAAATCAGGGTGGCAGCATTATAATGGGTTAATTTTATAATCCGCATATAAACACAGAGCACTGCAGTAGACTCACTCCTATTTATTTACGCCTGTACCAACATCCATCCATTTAACATCTCACAATTTAATCAACTTAGGAGAACAAAACCCTGCAATGCTACACTAGTTTTCACTATACAGTTTAGGAGTACATTCAGCCACGATTTGTAAGTCCTACCCTTTTCAGGGTACCTGAACAGATCTGTAATACCAGTGATGGCCAGTTAGTGGGAATTGTTTAAGGACTGGGAAAGAAAGTTGCTCATTTTTTTTTGTGGCAAGAACACTGTAGTGGGTAAAAGCTGCCAGCAAAAGAGGAAGTAAGACCATGGATGTGCCCATGTGTGTCCTGAGCATGGAGTGGGCTGTAGCTTATATGGTTGATTTCCTGGGGTACAGAACTGTTACGACAAGGTGTTCTTTTGACCTTGTTGAAAGGTACCTACCACCACACTTTTACCTCTATCTCTGCAGAGATAATACAGCATTGACTATGTTCACTCAACAGGAGCTTTAACATAATTCACAGAGAAAAATCAAACAGAATTGGACATAACGGAACAGTATGCAAATGGGAAGAGAAATTCTAAATATTCTTACTGTTTGGGAGCTAGGATAGCACTCTAAACACGGAAGATGTGAGCAGGTCATAAAAATAAGAAGTAAAAACAGCAAGGCAGTTTAAAAAAGAACAGTTTGGGCCATGTTTAAGGCCCAGCAGCTAGGGATTCATGCTAACTGCTATGCACTTTGTTAGTTTCCATTTCCAAGCTCTAGATGACCTATCAGACAAGATCAGTCCTGCAATATTATCATCTCCCTCCATTTCCCACATTTTACAAACAGGTCAGCAACAACAAAGAATTCCCATAAATTCCATTCCTGTAGAATCCACAAAGGCTAGAGATTATGCTGGGAAACGGTTGCCACTGAGACAAAAGGGCTTCTTCAAATAAGCTGCATCAGATCTATTTCAAACATATTCAGAGTTGGCAACCCACCTCCTTCTTAGACTCTCTTCCAACCCCATGAACTGGGAATTATTTCTGACTTTATGCTTACTTGCAATTTGGGTATCTTGATAGATACATCATGAATTTTTTTCTGTTCTTTCTCATATGGTTTGTTGACTCATTGCCTGAATTTTTGCTACAGCATTTACATTTCCGGAATAGTTATACCCTAAAAATCTGTGCAGAAGTCACCTTTTTTTCTACATCTTCTCAGAAGCTAGAACTGCCAATAAATGACTCCTTCCCCACTCCATTTGTTTCACATCCTCTGACTTTTCTTATTAGTAAAGGGGTTCTTCTTTATAAGCATCCTTGGGAAACAGTATTCCTGAACATTAGAAATGCTAAATCAATAGTCTGAAAATAGTTGATTAATGTTTTGCACTATTACTTGCCTATTTTTATGCAGATTTTCTGAGAAAAACGGGTTCTGCATGGCCTAAATGACAAGATAAATCAAAAGATAAAGGTAGGGAATACCATGTCTAAAATGCCCTATCTTAAAAAGCAAAATTTTAATTTCTTGACCACTTTCCTTAGTGTCATGCAATGCAAGGTGACCTGTTTTATAAAGCTTGTCTAGATATCATCATTCAGGACATACTCTGCATATTTTTATTCTTATACTGCAGTCTATCCAGTAACAGTAAATAAATTCATCATTATTATCATTCAACACTGGTATCATTTGAAATGTCTTCTGCAGCAGCTCATTGCAAAGACATTCAGACACTAGCTTTCTCCTGGAGCTCATCTCAGAAAGCAGCATCTCTGAAGTTGTGGTGGATGTGTTCATAATAACCATACCTTACACATTCTCCCATGAGACTGAAAAGCTACCAACAGTTCTGAGTACAGTGACAGGGCAGGTGATAGCTTTTTCAGACACCATTTCACAGATTCTAGAAAAGCCTCTAGTGAAGCCACCACTATAAGGCAGGTTGTCAGACTTACGTTTCACCTTTGCTTTGCCATGTGTGTTTTTTTTAAGATCTGTTTTTTCAGGTAAGTAATAGGCATCAGATGTTACCCATAAAAATCTCACAAGAACAAAATGCATATAGGTTTTAGGACATTATAAGAAATGAACCATGAAAAGGCCCAGCAGCAGGGAGAAGAGGGATTAAGGAAGAAGTTGGCATTGTCTAACTGTGGGATAAACTATCTGTGTCTTGCACCTCAATGATCATGCAGCTAGAGAGTTAACGTGCATTAACATTCACTCTGTCCAAAAAAATGCATGCTTTTGGGGATGAGAACCCTGACTACTGGAAAAATGCATGCTTTGGAGGGTGAAGACATTGACTTCCTTTTTATATTTGCTATTCTAATTATACTGTCCTGATTTCAAATTAAAGACACAATGGCTTTTGCTATTCCATTATGTAATTATAGATTTCTGTAAACATTCTTCCCTTTGTTGGTTTCCTCTGTGCACACATTTTTTTAAATGCATAAAGCAATCAAAATAAATTCTGAAATCAAAACAAAGAGAAAACAAATGGCGCCTCAGATATTCCCTTAAAAAAATAGCCCTGTGCATCATCTTCAGGCACTTTTGTCATCTGTTGCTATAATAACCACTTTGATTACACGAACACTCACCAAACTCTGCTTGGCTGACTATAGGGCACTTCCCAGCAGCTAAATGAATAGCTCTAAAGTACTGCTCATTTCCAACTCAGTACCAGATTTCGTCCTATCATATCAACAGCCACGCAGCCAAGAAACTGAGCTTTCTTGCACATGGTCTCCATGGTGTTTATGTGTTTCTTCCCCAAACAGACAGATGCAGATTAAGCAATGCATGTCAATCTCATTATGAGACTGTGAAATGTGCAGAAAGTTTGTTACACACTCATGCAATCATACACATTGTGAACATCCTGTTTATTTGGCCTGTTCTCTGATGATTGGCTGTGGTGTTTCAGCACATTACTGACAGCTGGGAATTGCTCCAATGGAACATGCTTTTCCTATGACAAAGATCCAGAGAGCAGCAGTAACATGTGTCTGCCCATTATTTCAGCCGTACAAAAAAAAAAAAAAAAGGCAACAAAAACTAAAAAAAAAAAACCCAGCACGGTCCCTCTAAATGAATAGCACATTGGTTGTCTGAGCTGTGCTGGAGCACCACTAGACAGGCCCTTGACGACCTTTGGAGGCCATCTGAGATAATAAATCCTCAGACCCCCAGTTCCGGAATGCTTTGGGCAAGGTCAGGATGGCAAATTTCCCACTTCCACAATATCAGATGTTACGGTAATTCCTTTTAGCTAATGTGTAAGAGCAAAGGAATGTCTTCAAACCTCATCTAGGCCCTGTGGAATCTGTTGAAAATGCATGACAGCTGCGGGCTTTGGCTGGGGTCTGCCTGTGAATATATGAGATTTGGAAACCTTTCAGACAAGGAAAGGAGGGAATGACTGTACATTCAATGTGTACCATTGGTCTCCCGCCCTCCCTTCCCAGCCCCATTTCACACAACACAGCCATATCACAGCTCTACGGTCATGGCTGTCATGCATTCTTTACGACTCAGTGTCGCGGGTAATGTCCAGCACACAAAAATACTGATGTGCATGTGCATATACCTACACACACACACACACACACAAAAGAAAGGGGGGAGGAAAAGGAAAGACGGATTTCCATATGTCCTGAGAACAGGACATAGAGTAGCTCAGCCATTTTTCCATAAAATGGTACAGAGCAAAGGAGTAAGCAACTAAGCACTAGATTGCTGCTTGATGTGTCCGGATGCCCAAGGTGGGAAGGAGTCCCACATGGATACTCTTATTAACTGTTCTCCAGAACCCAGGTGAGAGATGCAAGAGACCATGGGCCCCTCCCACATCCTTATTTTCAAGCAAAAGATCATGGCCTCATGCATGCCTATTTTCACATCACTAAGCAAAAAGGTTCAACACAAGCTAGCATAATTATTCTTTTTGCAGTCTTGCGCTTTCCAAGGACTTTATAGTCTTGACTTCTCTGATTTGGTCCTCAGATATGAGGTCTGCAACATGTGTGGGAAACTCCCCTTGCCACATGCATAAACTACTATGATAAAAAGCAAGGAAGGATCAGAATGATTGCCTTATAGAGCTATGTCCACTATACAGCTTTTTCAACCTGTAGTTAACAGCCCAGACCAACACAACCATTTGACTATTCTTGAATTCCTTCAACAGTGTGAGAAAGCTCCTAGCACAAGGGGCTTCTTCCAATAACGTCAGTATTCCACACAGTGTTTCATAAACTTTATTATAATGCACACTGCCATGAAGCCACCTGCATATGCAGTAAGTCCATCTTTTCCACCGAAAATAGCAACAACCTACTTTATGTGCAATAATAGTCGCTACAAATTGTTATTACTGCTAGTATAAAATGAAGTAAAATAACAGATCCAGCAATATCTGGATACAGTGCACCTGATCGTGACAGACTTGGAGCAAGTGCTTTTCCCAGATTCCAAAAGGGGTCTTTTATTTCCAAAAGAAGCACTGAAAGGATTAGTTAGAGAACCTGAAAACAGATCTTGGTACTGTCATACCTGAGATGCAGCAAAGAGAAAAGAGGAATTAGGAAATTAGAAGTATGTTAATTATAAGGATTAAAGACAGCACACTCATGGCTTCTTACAAGCAGCTGAAAAGCACAGCAAGCCTAAGCTTATCAGCCACCCTGGTAACAAGAGAT